GGGGAAGGTGGTTTTTCTTTGGGTTTAGGCTTGGGATTTTGGGCATATGGTTTTACGGGGATTTTGGGCTTGGGATTTTGGACTCAGATTTGGGCGAATGGTTTCCATAGATTAGTGGGGCAAGGTGTCTAGTAAGTCAGTGCCCCTTTAATGCGATCTACATGCGCCCCTTTGAGGGGGATCTATACGGGCTCTTTGAGATGGGATTTGTCAAGCTACTGTAAAACGGATTTATAAAGTCTCCTTTAGAGGAGACCCTTAACCCAAAGCCCCAAAATCCCAAACTGCTCTGGGCTCTCAAGCCCGCCACGAACTAAACTAAGCCCCAAGCCCAAAAGTTGCCATCGCCCCCAAAAATCCCAAAACCCTAAACTCTACAACCAAAACCCCGAAAAAACCTTAAACCCCCTAAACTCCAACCCAAATCCTGAAAGCCCTGAGAAAAGAGTCCGCAAGCCCTAAACCACATGAACCCTTATCGAATCCGCAAAAAAAAACCTTCTAAGGCATTCAGTTAAGGCCGTGCCAAAAGTCGCCCCTTCATCGCCAGAGGCATAGAGCAAAGAAATGCCCCTTACGCCGGCCTGAAAGCTCATGTGAGCTTCTGAGTTTGATGAAAGTTTATAATATAGGGGCCTTAATAATTACCTATACTGTTTTGGGGGTTCCTTATTGTAACTATAGTACATAATATACCCCAAAACCCTATTCAAATTCAATTAAGGCCCCTTCTTCGAGAGGCATTGAAGGCTCGGGGGCTTAGGGTTTAGGGTCTCTACGGGCTTTTCGGAAAAATATTTTAGCATTAGAGGGAAGCCTTACCCCTAAACCCAATAAGCGGGGTAAGCGTTTCATTAGCAGGGCGTCATAGGATGCTTGGAGGATGTAACGTCCCGGCCTTCTTGCCTTGTGCCGGGTTTACTGTACAACCCAGGGATTATGAAGGGTTTGGGGTTTGGGGTTTAGGTTTGGGGTTTAGAGTTCAGGGTTTAGGGTTTAGGAAGGAAAAACGTGAGGCCTCCTCACGCTCCTACATCGAAGAATTCACATGCCCATCGCATTGCCAGGTTACCAAGCTCCTGTTTAGGATACTGGCTCGAGGGCGTTGTGGACAGTGGAGAGGACTTCCCCCTGCACACCGAAGGCTGCACCGAAAGCATGCTATGTCTCTCTGGACATACGATGTATACGCTTCGTGTTTAGATTTTTAGAAGTTAAGTCCCCGGTCTCGGTAACATGAGCGCTTGGGAGATTCCTTTCAGGGTTCTTTATGGGGTTCTATATATTAGGCTGCCCTTAAGGGTTCTACAACAGGGTGCTATAGTCCTTATCGAAGCTGTTCGAAGCTCCCTAAACCCTATACCCTGAACCCTACACCCTAAGCCCTAAACCCTAAAGCCTAAACCCTATACCCTAAACCCTACACCCCACACCCCAAACCCTAAACCCTAAACCTCTAAGGACCTAAACCCTGTCATTCCAAGCATCGCGCCTTCTGAAACTCCACGTTCAAGCGCTGGGCCGCGGCATAGGACCAGGAGCCTCCGGAAGATGGAGGCTCTTAGTCCTCAAAGGTTTAGGGTTTAGGGTTTAGGGTTTAGGGTTTTGGGCTCAGGGTTTAGGGCTTTGGGTTTAGGGTTTAGGGCTTAGGGATTTAGGGTTTAAGGCATAAGGCTTTGGGTTTAGGGTTTAAGTGTCCCTGCGCTGGTATCCGTTCATTCCTCAACCAGAACCACACGCTCCTGCATAGCCATGGAGGGAAGTGGGCGAGCCTTCATCTTCTCCGTAGGAAGTAGAGAAGACCTGGCAAACCAACATGGAGATCTGGAAAGGTAATGCTTGTGAGAGCCCGTTGGAAACCATCGTGCACTTAGGAACCAAGGAAATCGTGTTTAGGGTTGCGCGCGACAAAGCCATCCAATCACTGCCGGCGTCCTCGTCTTAAGCACATCTTGTTGCGAGCTAGCAGGGGGCAGCATAGACCAGGAAGCGACACTGTCGAAAGATTACGGCATGCAGATGCTTGCACCTTCGGGACGTCCTTGTCTCCGGTGGAGCTGAGTGTGGTCAGCCACTTCAAGAAAGGCTCGTTCTTGGGGTTGTCCTTTGCAGCAGCTGTCTTCGAAATTTCAGACAGTCAGAGGCCCTAGCCCAAATAGACCCTAAATATCTTCACAAATACCCTCATCCTTAAACCCTGAACCCTACAAAAGCCCATGTAACCCCACACCCTAAACCCTAGCGCAACCCTCAGGCTTGGGATAGCGAAGTCTGCTGGCCAAGGTCACGCAAAGCTCCCGGGTTCTGAAGGTTTCATATGCCGGAAGTTCTCTAAACTAGGGTCCCTTTTAGGGTCCTTTTCATCAGGGTTTAGGGCTTTGGGTTTAAGGTTTGGGGTGGTTTAAGGCAAGTTCTCTAAATGAGGGTCCTTTTAAAAGGGTGTCGTTCGATGTTGGGACCTAGGAACGGACCCTAATTTTGGAGAACTACCCATGTATTCTCAGGCTATTTGCGACCATGACGCTTGGTAGACCAAAGCACGGCGCAAGAATGCGAGGCAGAAGAAGAGCACAGTCGTTATGTCATTCGGGGTTTTGTGGCTGCCCGTAGAAACCCCAAACCCTTCCAGAACCCTAAACCCTAAACCCTAAACCCTTCCAGAACCCGTCAAGGAACCCTTGCGCCTGAGTTTCTGCAAACCCACTTCTACGCAGTTGTACTCGCGATGTGTTCTCACTTTGGCTTGTTTTATATGTCTCTGTAGAGACAAAATCTACACATCCCCCGAAGTTCCTCCCTTCAATGCATCAACTATAAGCCCCAGACTAAAGCCCTGTTTGATCCGATAGCAGCCGGCAAAACCGTAATGTAGAGGCCTTAATAATTAGAACAGGGTTTGGGGGGTTCCTTAATATAATTATAAAATAACATACCCCAAACCCTATTCTAATTATTAAGGTCCCTGTATTACACAAGCCGCTAAGTCCCCTCTGCGAGCCCTCCGTCCTTGGACCTTCCGGCGAAGCCCCAGAATTCGGCTTCGACGTTGCCCGCAACACCCGTGATGGTCTCCTCGGACTATTTTGGGGGATCTAGGTTGCCTAGTTGAGGGTTTGGAGTGCTGAGTTTTGGGATTTGCTGGTTCAAGAAACCCAAGAAACCCTAAAGCCTGCACCCCAAACCCTAAACCCGAAACCCTAAACCCGGTACCCTACAGCCTGCGCCCTAAACCCTAAACTCGAAACCCTAAACCCGGTACCCTGAAGCCGGTACCCTAAGCCCTAAACCCGAAACCCCAAACCCTAAAGGGCTCGAGACGGAACTGTTAGGGTTCAGAGCTTGGGGGTTTAGGCTTAGGGCTTAGGGCTTAGGGCTGAGGGCTTAGGCTTACTGACCGAATCCCGAGCCCGGTCAGAAGGCCAAGCAGCGATGTCGAGCATCGACTCGACCCCGGCATGCCCTGCTACTCGAAAGTAGGGGTCGGGGGTTTAGGGCTTTTTTATGGTTTAGAGGGTGTAGGGCTTGACAGGGGTTCGGGGTTCGGGGGCTAGGATTTGGGGCGTTGCAACTTCTCTGAATGCAGCCGGATGTGTGGAAATTCAGGCATACTTCTGGAGTTTAGGGTTTGAGCTTACGACTTCACGGCTCAGCACAGGTGACTCGTCGCGATATCTGCTCTTCTGCGCCCTGAGATGGTCTGCAACCCAAAAACCTCTACACTCGAAACGCCTACGCTATCGCCACACAGCCTGCCACGTAGTCGCCGACCAATTTCGGAGGCCCCTTGCCGCAAGTGATGCCTCCGGGCGGCTGCAATGCCAAATAAACCCTCAACCCTACACGACCATATACAACCGCACATCCCCGAATTCCGAAACCCGAACCCTACGTCCTCAAAGGTCCAACGACACCTTGCGCTAAAACCTTCAACGCCTCAAGCCCGAGGGACTGGATGGCGGTTTAGGGTTTAGGGTTT